GTGGATTCCGCTGGCTCAGAGCTCACTTTTTGTAATTATTATAAGGGTCAATTTCCTTGTCGAAGAATGAAGATCTCACTCCAAACACTTGCAAGCGGCCAGATGTCCAAGTCATTTGCTATAGGGAAAAGATCACGACATTGCGGGCGAACGCGCCTTGCCAGTGGTAGGACCGGGAGTGGCCTCGAAGGATTGGAGAAGGGAAAAACAAAAAAACCCTGCAAACCGGAGACGGCTACAGTGTGGAAGGACGAGACGAGGGCACAAAGAAATACTGTGGCTAGTCCTCAGGACGCTAGGGGCTGAAAACAGGAAACTGGGCCCAAGGTGGGCCTAGACGTGAAGAACCGGCGGTAGGAAACCCCACTTCACGAGAATGAAAACTTCGGGTCATGAACCGGAGCCGGGGATCGGAAAGGAAAAGGGTGCACTCGAGCCCGGACGAAAAGGGGATTCAAAAATGTGTATGTGTATAGCTGCCGTAGGTGTGGTCTTTCTGTCCCTGGTCGGCGAAGTTCGATATGGTAGATTATTCTGCAGGGGGGTACTCCTTGGGGCTAAGTGTCAAGTTTGGTGAGGTCATGGCATATTAGTCACGCCGCAGTTTGGGCAGCCGCTGCAACGGAGGCTGGCTCACCGTGGGCGTCGAAGCCGAGGTGCTGAGATGTCACGAAGGAATAATTCATTCCCTCTAGTTTGTAGTACTGTACACGTCGAAGCAATAATGTTGTATAACCGTGCAAAGTATTAAGAAAATGATTCGGACTTGGGGCTAGAGGGTGAAGAAGGTATGGATGCATCTATCACGCTATCAGTAGCTGGGGCCGAGCTTTTCGAAGTTTGACCATATTAGATGTCCTTGAAGAATCTGGTAGGCTGATACTCATCCGTCATATATCCTGCCACAGGGCCGAAGTTGCGAGACGTGAGATACTGCAACGAGGCAAATACTGAGATCCGCGACTTTAAGATCTAATTAATGTTATTACTGTTCGTAAAGGCGTAGCCAGATTGTTCCGGTTCATAACTTGCTTGTTTTGACTGCGCTAGGGCTTGGAGGGAATGCGACATTATGGAGCGGCCCATCTTTTATTGTATTCAATGCTCATAAAAAAACATATAACCTTCTCCTAGGATATTGTAGCCCGATCATTCATCATCATCCACTCATCCGAGGTCGGATGGAAAAAGTAAAGAACAATCGGAAAACGGATGGAAAGATGGGTTGGGGCGGGTGAGCTGGGACGGAGGGATGAAGGAAGGTAGGAAGGGGATGAGGTCTCGAGGGGGGAGTGGAACCCTATGACCTTCGTTGGAGCATGTGCAGGTGAAGAGGCTCTCGCATAGGCGTCACAAGTTGCAGATATTTGTGCGATTTAGAACTGGGAATGCTGACGGACGCATTATGGGCGGTCGAGGCAGCAGAAATGGTAGTGCGAGTACGACTTCGACGATGCGCATTGCATTATTTGATATTACGATGCGGCCAGTCGCGGCAGTGGATGCAAAGTCAAAATGTATGGATCATGTGGTCACATTCTCATCATCAACTTACAGGTTTTCCTCATGACGATCGGAATGACACATAATGAAAGGATGTGTTTGATCTTGTCGATGTAACAGTGCGGTATCCTGCGAGCCCTCGCACAATCTGAAAACATCGTATGAAAAGCTCGGCAGATATCGGAATTTATGGGCCATTTTCTGCGTACATTAGCACACTGCCAGACAATAGACGGGAGAGTGACGTAGCTCCAAAACTGTAGAATGCACTAGAGTCTTGCATGATTAGAAAGAGAAACAACACGATAGGCAGACACCGAATTTATATTCAAGAGATTTGTGATCACTCTGGAACTGGGAAGGGTGATGACCATCGTGACGTTGTTGTATGTTCCACGCCCTCGTTCGACGCGTCGAGTCCGTCGCTCATGGACCGAAATCAAACGAAACGAGACGAATCCGAAACTCCGCAGTAAAGCGACCACACTTGAAGTCCGGATCCTCAACGCAGTGGTAGCATGCACTCTTCCATATTTAACCGCATGTTGCGATACACAACAATCATGCCTCGATTCTGAATACACACACGTTTCAATTCGGCTGCAGCGGACCGTGGACAAACCGACCGGAACTTCGAGATCAATGACGGGTCTTGGAGATGCGTAGTTCGGGTTTCGCCCCTAACTCAAGCTGATTGGGCGGTCAGAAGAGTCCCGACTTCGTTCCTTCGAGCGCTTCTAATTCAGGGTGCACGCTAAATGGAGCACTAGGTTGTGGTAGGTCCGATCATACTCCCTGGGCTAAAAAAAGGAGCATACAATTTATATTGTATGCTGCGGTTTCGAAGCCCTTCAACTTGCTGTCCGTGTCCATTTGGTGTGGACCGCTCCGCATGTTCGGTGTCTATTCCCATCTCCGGAAGAAATCCTTTCCTCCGGATTTGACTCCCTAAAAACTTGGCAAGACAGAAGGTTCACCGTGGTTAAGTTCGGCCGTGGTTAACCAGGCGAGGTCGGCCCATGGCCCGAGGATCACCGAGACTACGCAGCAGAGATAAGTTCTCGGATCAAGCTGTTATATTGTATCCGACGCCCTCCGGAAGGCGTCGGCGCCTTTTCCTCTGAAAAGGACGGAAACGAAAGACGAATATAGAAGTTTCGAATCACATCAATGAACTGCAGTTGCTGTACACTGTGCGACAACTACGATGCTACAGCAGAGGAGCGTATGACTCCTGTGGAAACAAGATGTTAAAAAGGACAGAAAGAGAGGAGGGGAGGACGAAGAAGAAGAAGGAGGAGGAAGATGTATGACGCGTGGGTATGACTGTAGACTGTGATACGCATGAAGCCGGATCGCTTTCTCGAGGGACAACAGTTTCCAGTCGACGAGGGGCGTTCGAAAAGCTGGACGTGGTAGAGGAGATTCGCCGAATGATTCCGAGGCGGGGCGAGGGGTGACGCAGTCGCCCTGCTTTCGGGGCGCCAGATGCGGGTTCGCGTACACAGTAACAGGACGCGACGAGATGGGGCATACGGTGAATGTCCTGCTGCTCCGGACACGAATCGGGGCTCGAATTACGTAGTGAGACTTTGGGAGGTGATGGGAGGGATGACGTCGGGCCGAGCCGTGCTGGCCATGTCGCCGGTACCACGAGCCGCGGAGAAAGCGGTGGATGTGGTAGCCGTTGGGGCTGGGGGGTGGCAGCGGATGCAGTCGAGTACGCGCGGGGGGCGGGCGAACGAGGAGCGCCCAGCGCATCACGAGAGAAGATGGGTCGGGCATCTTCGCCACAAGCGCAACGAACAGGTAGATGGCGGTTGGAGTTGCCCAGGGCGGGAGGGATCGTCTCCGGGTTCCGATGCGGATATGGTGCGGACTGTGGCAATGGGACTGGACATAATTCCAAGATGTTGGGTAAGGAGGGACGGGGTGACCGAAGTCAACCGGGGGAAACCGTCGGATCGCCAGTCGCAATGGGCTTTGTCATGTCATGCGAATGAAGGAGGAGGAGGAGGGAGTTGACAAGTGAATCCCGGGTCGTTCCATCCGCCCAGTGCTCCACTCAGCGCTGTGCGCCGGCTGGACAGTCGGAAACCCACCGCACCGCACGATCGCAAACAGGAGACGGCCGGACGTGAACGATCATGAGGCGCTGGTTCCTCGGCGACAAGATCCACAACAGCAGCGCCCAGAAGATACCCGGGGCTCGAGACGTCGGGGACGTGGTTCGGACGCCGCGGCGGCGTAGGCATGTGGGCATGACCGATATCGAGAGCCTACTGCGACTCCTCCGGCGGACCGGGGCGATGCCGAGAGGGTAAGAAAGCGACGCCCCGCCAGGCCATGTGAAAGCGGCCGGTGACGGGGAAACGACGGGTAAAAACGCAACAGTGGCAGGTGAAAGCAGCCGGCACGGGCAGGTCGTAGCCCGCTGGTGGGGTCCTGTATGCGACATGCCATGGATGCGCATCGATGTACGAATGGATGGATGGGTCAGTCCGTCAGTCAGTCCGTCAGCCCGTCAGTCAGTCTGCGAGCGAGGAAAATATTAAACAAACGGTCGAGCAAACAGAGAGCGAGACGGGCGGGCCGGGAAATGGGCACTAACGCCCCCCTCATCCCCCCGCCCCGGTCTATCCGTCTGCGTCGTCTACAGCCGAAGCCTCGGACGAGATCTCGAGGCCAGCGGGCGACGACGACGACGACATACGACGGCTGGCCGGACACAGTGGAAGGAACAAGGATGGAAAGAAGGAAGGAAGGCAGGGAGGCAGAGGGATGTGTGTGTGTGGGTGTGTGCGGGTGTGTCAGTGGAGTTGATGAGATCGAACGTTCGTTGAGGAGGAAAAGGCGAGGGGATTTCATTCTTTGAGTAAGAAGAGGGGAAAAGGGGAGAGGCGAGCAGGGACCGGGTAAAGGAGATTGGATTACGCTGTCTGGAGCGGGCCAGCTAGGTGGCCAAATTGCTCCGAGCCACTTCTCTCGATCAGATGGCTCCAATTGCTGCCCCCGCTCCGCTCCGCTCCGCTAGCGGCGGGATCGCGGACTGAGGCAAGCTTTGCTCTCCTTGCAGTCCGGCCGCGCGGCCAGGGAGCGAGGGAGGAGGAGGGAGGGAGGGAGGGAGGCAGGCGGGCAGGCAGGAGGAGCAGCAGCCGCAGCAGCGTCGCTCGCTCGCTCGCTCGAACACCTCGCCCTCCGCTGCTCTCCTCATTGCTACGCCTGGCTTGCGTCCGTAGGAAGGGAAGTCGTGTGTATAGCCATTCGTAGACTAGCCTAGGACTGAGCAGCAGGACTGTCTGCTGCTGGCTTTGCTGTGCGTCTGCTCTGCTCTGCTCTTCCTCTCTCACTCTCTCTCTCTTTCTCTCTCCTTCCTTCGTTACCTTGCCTTTCCCTTCCGTTCCTTCCTCTTTCTCTCTCCCCTCCCCCCTCCCCCCTCCGGACCCCGACCCCCTCCCCTCTCCCTCACTCCCTCCCTCCCTTTCTCCCTCGTCCGTGCTCGACTCTCGTTGCGTGGCGTGCTTGGCCCCGAGCGAGCGAGCGAGCGAGCGAGTGATTAAGGAGGGTCCTTGAAAGCGAGACAGGGCAGCAAGCGTCGACAGGCAGGCAGGTTGGCAAAACTCTTGTATGTGCACACATACGGTTCAATGCGTGCGTGCGGACGCAGCAGTTAGGCTATGAGGTCGCGATAGATTGGTAAAACGAGCGTGGAAGTAGTAGCGGTGAGCAGAACGAGACTGAGTAGAGTGAAGGAAGACGAAGTGTGCTGGTGGTCGCGGAACGAGTGGCACAAAGTTGCGTGGTGTTGGCATAGGTGAAACACGAGAGCAAGTGTGGACGTGACGTGAGATACTTCTACAGAGTGAGACACGAGTGAGAGTGAGGGTGAGAGTGCGAGCGAGATATTGTAGAGAGAAGGGAGTGGTAGGGTCGCAAGACGGGAGCGAGACGACCAGCGTGGAGGGAGGAGTAGTAGAGTTCCGAGAGCAGGACTTTTGGGCTGTAGTAGAAGTGAGATATGGCGCAACAACAGAGCAGCGGTAGCAGCACGTGTGCGGCAGGATGAGCGAGCGTGCTCGGTGCTCTGTGTTGCGAGAAAAGGGTCGACTACTTGCCCGCGCCAGCTCCATAGTGAAGGCGTGCCGGCTTGGCGGGCTGGCCCTGTAGCGGGATGGGCTGCTTACAGTCGAAGCCCAAGGACGCTATCGCCCCAAACCACGATACCCTTGAACCTGAAAAGCCCGATTTAGGTTTGTCCGCATAACATCACAGTTGCTTGGTGTTTCTGTCATGATCTGTGATCCTTTCAAATGCCAGTAGGGTTTGCCTGCACGCTCTTGTGCTTTCGATTTGTGGGCCTGTATTTTGAATCAGTGTACTGTCAACTCAAACATTACTGAATTTCCTTCCTCGGTCTGCTCGTGCTGATCTGTTGTGGTTTAGGATACCATGTACAAACTCATCTCTTTTTTCTGTGAGCTCGGCTCGGTAGTCAGGCTGTCACGTTTATTCTTATAGTACGCAGTTCTGATCTGGCGCGATCTTTTCTTTCGTTCGCGTGAGACTGCGGAGTGTTGTTTGTGTGCGTTCCATGTGTCTTCTTGAACCGTTTGGCTCCTCTGCACCTCTGATGTCTTAGGTCCACGTATCCTTGCTCGTCCACGTTTTTGGGTGTATCATGTTGACCTGAGGAACTAACTTTGTTAGGTTTTTCTCTCGTGTTTTGTTATCATGGGAGCATTATGTTGCACAGTACGATGCATCTTTGTTCCACGTCCCACATGTGCTCGGTAGCCGGCATTGCTTTCGCATGGAGTCGGGAATGCATGTGCTTCGCTGGCTCGGAGCAGGGTTAACTTGGATGACTTCATGGTTTGAGCTCAACCCTTAGAAGTTAGGAAGTTTTCACCATCGATCCTCATGAACATCGTTCTGCTGTCTGTTGAGCCTTTCAGAAAACGGACGACGGTCCGAACCAGAGGCAGTTCCGAGTTTCAGAGAGTATTCTCTGGAACAGCTGAAAACGGCCACTAATGGATTTAGTCCTGAATATATAGTATCTGAAAGTGGAGAAAAGGCACCAAACTTTGTGTATAAAGGCAGACTAGATCAAAATCGATGGATTGCTGTGAAGCGCTTCCCCAGAGCAGCATGGCCGGATGCCAAGGGATTTGAGGTAAGGCACCCTTGCTGGAGAATCTCGTACTGTGTTCCCATCTTCTGATTAGATAATGCTTGCGCGAGACCGTAGTCTTGGCACTGCCCGTTTTCATTTTACGGGTTAACTGCACATCGAAGTTGTGATGCTGCGAGGTGTGTTTTGCGGATGTTCTGTATTTTTTCCGTGTGTGGAATTCTGAGCTGCAATCAGGATCGAAACACGTAGGAAGTGCTCCCAGCTTATTGCGTTTGGGAGATCATGACCTAGCGACCATCCGTCATTGGCGATGACCTAAGAATTGCCTCAAAGTAGCTGCAATACCCAATTAATTTCCACATCGACTCTAAGATGCAAGCTTTAGACAGATTAAGTGGAAATTTAGAAAGAATACCCGCGTAAGAGAACTCATTATCCATGGGCTTCAAAGCTTTACCTCCAGGTGTCCAGGGTTTAATCATGTGCTTCTTTTGCCCAACATTTTCCTCTGCTGATGATCATCTTGAGTGCTAATTCCCTACGTTCGTAATGCAGCTCGAGGCACGGAGGGTTGGAGAAGTCCGCCATGACAGGCTTGTAAACCTCATTGGGTTTTGCTATGAAGGGGATGAACGGTTGTTGGTTGCAGAGTACATGCCCAACGACACCTTGGCGAAACATCTATTTCACTGTAAGCTTTCGAAGACTACACAAGTCCCGAATTTTTCGTGGAATCTCGTTTCTCTAGTCGGTCATCCTGTTTCATTTTCGCTCTTGTAATTGACTTCGTGCTCAGGTGCGGATGTGTGTGAAGCTGGTTCTGGTGCGGCAGAAGTTTAGAGTCGAAATAATCCACTCCTGCATGGCACAATCACTTCGGCGGATCTCTGCGTTTGCCGGATCTTTTCTTTAACAATTTCTCTGGTGGTGATGTAGGGGAGAAGCAACCTATGGAATGGGCCATGCGCCTTCGTGTTGCTCTTTATATAGTGCAGGCGTTAGATCATTGTGCCAACAATGGATTGCGACTCTATCATGATCTTAACGCTTATCGAGTACTTTTTGATCAGGTATTTGAACAAATGCCTTGGCGCAAATTGGGTTAGGTAAAGAGGTAGAGAGCAGGTTCAAAGAGTTCGTTGGTGTGATTATTCTTTCTGAGTAGATAGTGTGGTGTGGTTTTCTCTCTACGTTTAATGTATGTTGTTCGATACCTCCTGATCTTAGCTGTATTGATTTGTCCTTGTGTAGGATGGTGATCCAAGACTTTCATGTTTTGGACTAATGAAAAACAGTAGGGATGGGAAGAGCTACAGCACTAATTTGGCCTACACCCCTCCTGAATATTTGAGAACAGGTATTTACACTTTTTGTCCCGAGGCTTCCTAGCGACCTAACATGGCTTCCATAACGGCAGTTTTTACATCTTATATCGCTTAGTGTTTTGTGTATTTACTGGTTATTCTCTCCTAGTTCGACCCATGCAAAGCAAGGAAAAATGTCTGATAGGAGAGACTAGTTTTCTTTACTGGAGGGAATGAGAGTGTGGTATTGGGCGCCGTTTGGTTTCTATATAGAACGATACGTACTTACGAATTGTGATTGAAATACAAGTAATTGTAGGAGCGAAAGGAAGGATTAAGGATGTAAATGCTCAGTGTAGGAAAACTAGTGAAATTAATGACATTGCAAGATGCGGACAAATGTAGAAGGTTGTTTGACGGGAGGTTGCAATAGTCATCGCCTAGTGTTCATATTTTAACGTTGGAGTTTCGAAGGTATAACCTCTACAGGCTTGCTGATGTAAATCCTTATTAATGTTGAATCTTGTTGTTACTTGGATTGTATTTCTTTTGGGACGGTGATGCAGGAAGAGTAACGCCAGAGAGTGTTATCTACAGTTATGGGACTGTATTGTTGGATCTTTTGAGCGGGAAGCACATACCTCCCAGTCATGTAAAGTCCACGCTTGATCTCATTTATGAGTCCAAAGTGGTTGCGTTCCATTGTGAGAGTTAAACTTTCATTATCATAGTAGACTCTGAAAAGCATCACCTTTAGGAAGAACATATTGGACATATCTATATTCTAGATTGGAGAATTGGTCTCTAACTCTTGTAATATGCTCAACGTCTACAGGCTCTCGATCTTATACGTGGCAAAAATATGTTGCTGCTTATGGATTCCTACTTGGAAGGACAATTTTCTAATGATGATGGAACGGAGCTAGTGCGCCTAGCTTCACGTTGCTTACAGTTTGAACCCCGTGAGAGACCTAATGCGAAGATGCTGGTCACAGCCTTAACCCCACTTCAAAGGAGAAACGAGGTTTGTGCCTAGGCTTCATAGAGGGAACGTTGAACTATACCTTACATTGCAGTTTTGCTATCGAGAGTATGCTTAATTTTCTGTTTGTGCAGTTAGTTGTTGTTGAGAGCACTGGTTTAAGCTGGCCAAGAGGAATTCGAGGGGGCATCGATTATTCTGAAGTTTCAGTTTCTAGAGGAAGAATGCGATTCTCTGTATTGTAAACCAGCTCTGTATTCTTGCCTTATCCGAGAGGTTGTGATTGCAGCAGATACCTTCTTATGCAATGATGGGCATTTCGCGGGGAGAGTCTTCTCCTCCGCTTTTACTGTCTGCTCTCGGAGAAGCTTGCTCGAGGAATGACTTAACAGCAGTGCATGATATTTTGCTGAAAACCGGTTACAAAGATGACGAGGGCGCTGATAATGAGGTACTATATTGGTCATACTTGAGTTGTTTGTTCGATTCACCCTACATGCATCAGATCACCTTGTTGTCACTTGGGATACCTCGCGAACTTACAACATGTGAACTCCTGATCTGAACAGCTTTCATTCCAAGTCTGGACTAAGCAAATGCAAGAAATGCTGAACTCGAGAAAACGTGGTGATCTTGCTTTCCTTGCTAAAGATTTCCGTGTCGCCATAGACTGCTACACCCAGGTTCGCTACTACTACACACGTTCCGAAGCTGGTTTTTGTTGTTTTGTGTGAGCAATGCCCGTAGACAGTTGAGGTGTTACTTGTTGATTCGTATTTAGTTCGAATTTAACTAGAAGTGCTGTTATGATTGACGCACGGTTTTCCTGGGTTTTCCTCTCTGCGTACACTTCGTGCAGTTTGTTGACGTGGGAACAATGGTATCGCCGACGGTGTTTGCAAGGCGTAGCTTGGCATATTTGCTAAGCGATCAGGCAGAGGCAGCTTTGCGGGATGCCATGCAAGCCCAATTCGTGCACCCAGAGTGGCCTACTGCATTTTACATGCAGGCAGCAGCTTTAGCGAAACTGGGAATGGATACAGATGCCAAGGATATGCTTAAAGAAGGGGCTCAGCTGGACATGAAGAGACAGAACATGTACAGCTAGGATTTTCCGTCTGTTTGCAATTGGAGAAGATGGGATGTTTGATCAATTTTCCTAGGCAAAGTATTGTACCGTTACATTATATGTTGTGGCAGATCCTCAAATCTTTTTCAGGATGCTTGTAGGTTATCAGTTACACAGCTGAAAGTACTCGCAGCTTTCAAACCCATCCTTGTACCAGGCAGACTGTCGCAACACAGCATGTGGATACGATTGGTGGGTTGGATCCTGTCCGGATGGAGATGGTGTAGATGTGCATAATTAATGTCATGGGTTGTATGCTGTCTCCATCTTGAGAGTACGCAAGCATTCGTGCAGGAGGGCAGAAATAATTAACTTGCGGCAGAAGTTGTATTCTTCGTGAAGGTTCTGGAGCTGCTGTGACACCCAAGTAAAGAGGGTGACAGGACTGTGGTAGCTATTTTTTCAGGCACTGCAGAGCAGCAGCGGCTTTTCTGAGTCCCCATAGGATGCCCTCGACTGTAGTGGCAACAAGTCTGTCTTTAAGATTCTCCGTGTTGTATACAGGTTTTGGTTGGGTATCAGCCAGGGCCAATCGTGTTGCTATTGATGTACCAACAAGCTAGCATTTCCAGTTACGTCATGCATGGACGGTTTGCCGCCTCATTTGTTTGGATTCGGCTTGTAACAATTATTAAGTTGTCCATTTAACCTGAACTAGTTAGCAGCCCAAAGAAATTCATGACATTTCTTGCATGGTCTACTTTGGTGTTGGTTGTAAGGCCTTACAATTTTGCTAATTTTTACTGTTTTGTTAATTAACCCTTTCTTGCCGTAACTGAATGAAAAACAGTACTATCATAATTAATGGGACTGGAAGCGATGTGGAAATAAATGGAAGAGAGATGTTTCTCTTCTTTATCCGAGCCAGTGTGAATGTTGATCAGTACGAAGCATGTACGTCAGTGATTCCTCTGGTCGTGTGATACTCGTCAGACCATCTTAGTGGTCTTCATATCATAGCAGTCCAACTTCGTTTCAGTAGTCGTGGCTTACTCAAGTGTGTCCAAGCTTGGTGTTGTTATCTTGGTTTTCAGAAGATTGATTAGTGATTCCAATCAAGGATAGGATCCGAAGGTGTGTCGCCGATCACGGTATCATAGCTTGAGACGGATTCATGGCCGACTACACGTGTAGATGATGTGGATTCTCTCGAATCTTGGGATGTTCAGGACTCGAAGAGTGTCGGATGTTTCAGAGAAATCCGGTCCTGAAATAGAGTTTTTTATGATCTTGTGTGGACTTCTCTTTGCACCAATGAATCACTGAAAGGTCAAAAGAAGAGACGTGCTTACGCAAGAGCATGGAAATCAGCTACAGCCGACCTCGAGCATGATGATCTTAATCGGCAGGTTTTTCGTCGCTCGGCTTACACCTGCAATTGTTTATCGAACTACCAGACCTACGACTGACTTGTCGTGGTCCCGGTTGTGCATAGTCTGCGATGAGGTGAACCTGGAACCGTCCGCCGCAGTAGGCTATGAACGACTGTAACTTTTGATGGTAGTCAGTGAAAGCAGGAATTGGGCGTGAATTTGGTCATGCATGTGACCTCCTGACCCTTTTGCCTTTCCAGTACTACGTGCGTCTCCCGATGCAGCAAGTTGCAGCCTCCTCTTTGATTGTCTCGTGCAAGCCAGTACAGTACACCTAGTTACAGATAGGAAGATTCTGTTGGGGTCGCTCATGCCTTAGCAGAGGCCCGAATGCTGAATGGTTCTATTGGACTGAGGGTCCAGCTTTGCCGCGAAGATTTCGGCCTCTATTAAACTCTGCCAGACGAAACATAGCGACCAAAAATCCTCTTTGGAGACAGTCGGTCGTGCTATGCCTGCTGAACGTAGACATATCTGAAGATCTGAGTGATTTACTGTCCAGAATCTTGCCAGATCCATTACTCTTGCAGTCCGCGGCTCCACTTCTCGACTGATATTTTCGTGCATGCGTAATGGACCTCTGCGATTGTAAGACTAACTAGCGTGTCTCACAACCTTTGTCAGATTACCGTAGATGTTGTCTGAGAGACCTCATTTCGGAGGGTGACTGGAGGACAGCTTGTCCAGGTCCGAGAAACTACCCATTTAGCGAGGCATGCCGATCCGCGATTACTCTTGCTAGAACTTGATGACGATCTTGAATCTTCATTGAGGTGACTGGAAGTGTCAATCGCCCTCCGCTGGAACAAGCTTCGGATCAGTTGACAGTGCTGCCGGATATGACCCGAGGGTTCACTGACCGATACGCAGAGGAACTGATGGAGGGCTCGTGTGGATGAGGGGTGGAAGCAGTGATATCTCCTCGATCAGACGCTCCGAGCTCGAAGGAGGTCGCACCTGCCGACTAAACACACAATCTGTTGAGCGTGTTGTCTACGAGACAAAACCTACAGAAGCTCGAGGTATAAAGACAGATAGAGCAGAGCGGCCAGTGGCAGTAGCGGGTGCGAATCCCGAGAGCGTCTAGGGGTAGAACTGGAAATTCTGTCTTGAGCTTTCTTCGCTACTGTGGCCTAGCCAGTAGAATGTTGTGAGCTGCTTTTTGGGAGAAATAAGTGTGTGAATTTTAAATGGATGGAGCGATTTGTCCAGACCTGGGGCTACTCTGCAAAGGCGTCATCATCTACTCGCATCATGACGTCAGACTTCTTTTGGAAACATGGCACTTTTGGAACAAACTTACAATCAGTTAGGAGCCTTTTGATGGCACACTTATTTCTCGCCTTGGTAGCCAGCCCAAAGGGTGACAGCCATATCTTTGTTTTTGCTTTAGGACACTTGATTTTGCCTTTGATGCTGTGCCCCCTCCTGCTGCACACATGAACCAGGAGCATAGTTTGTCAGGCAAGGGCCGGAACAACGCAGCAAGAAATCAGTTCTCTACACGCTCGACCCTCGACCCTCCGCCAAGGCCAGACACGTCTGCCGATCACGGAGCTCCCAGCTGCAGCTGCGCATACCGAGCCTTTAACAGGTAACCACTTTAGGCGAGACCGAACCTCACTGCAACTTTTTCTGATGAACGAGAACAACAACAGCAACGACATCGACATCATGCCTCGGCCCCGAATTCCCACCAGAGAAGCATCACATGGCTCAAACTAACTCCCTCTTTGCGTCCGCCTTTTCGAGCCGACCCTTTCTCATGCCACAGCGGCGGAATGTCATGCCCATTTCATGAGCAGTCTTGGACTCGCAAAAGGAGGAGGCCCCTCCTTTTTTAAATCCGCCAGCCCTGTCCTACCCTGCCACTCTCGTGCGTTCCCGGAATACTTCGCTCGTCAGAAACGGCGATGTCGGGTCGGTCAACCGGCGCTACGACGACGCGGTCGCGAGATAAAGTGGGAGCTCGGGCATTGCTGAGCTCGATGAGCCTGAGCCTGAGCCTGAGCCTGCCCCTGGACCTGGGCCTGACCGGGACGGGGAGGGAGGTTTGATCGATGACGTCCTCTCCTCATCTGCGGTCGATAGAGCTGAGGGCAATGAATTCATGCGGAAATGATCGCTGATCTGAACTCTGTCCTTTTTCGGGTTTTGGATTGTAGCAGATGAGCCGAGATGATACGGAAATGAACTCCGATCCGTCTGAGGACCGAAAGAATCATTTCGTGTCGGCCATGTTCTAAAGCTGCATCTGAGCACCCTTGTCTTAGTACGTCTGAGAAGATTCAACGCCATGTCGGCCATGATTTGGGTCGCTCTGTATCAGAGCATCCTTGTCTTACAGCCCGCCCGCCCGCCCTCGATAAGACTGCCGTTCGTGCCTTGCAGATCCGGATGCCTCGCCCGGCGAGCGTCGTCGTAGGCCAAGTGGGGGCGCCCACCCGAGCCCCTGATTCTTCCGCACCTCATCCCTTCCTCGCCGTCTGCTTTTTGAGCATGTCATCGCGTTTTGTTTTGATCGGCATGCCGCGCTTAGCTTGATCCAAACGGATGCGTTGTCCTGCTCGATCAAGTGTGCGCTGTGGATCTATCTCTCTCTTTGTCTTAGGGCAGGTGGAATTTGATCCAGCCATGCGATGCACGAAGGCCCGAGTTCGCTTCTTTTTATCAAAATTCTTTTGTCGCGCGGAGGCTCGAGGTTTCCTTTCGTTCATGTCGAATCGCACTAAATCTCGTCTCGTCTCGTATCGTCTCGTCTTCCCGACTACCCGATCGAGAATGGACCACGCGCATTTAATTATCTAACACTCGTCATCGCCATAAGCTGGCCCAATGTCTCCGTTGCGATACTACTCTGCATCGCATCATGGAACAAGATCTATGCACTTGACACAGGATGCGTTCCATTCCCGGCCCCAAAGCGTTGTTGTTATGCGCAGAAGATGATGGGGGATTACAATCATCGTGGTGCGTCCCGGGAGCCGCCGGGACATGTGACGGCTCCACTCGTGGCCAAAGAGCAATCAACCTCGGGTAGTCGAGCTTATAATTTGAGCCTCGAGCAGGTGTGCCTGGGCCGGGTCGTGGGCCTTCGTTGGTTCATCATCAGGAGTCGCAGCAAATCTTGGACGGCCGACCGGTGAATGGACTAGAACTCAAAGCGAGCGCTGAGGCGCTCCATGCACAGGACAAGAATCGTCTTTGCTGGCCGATCTTTCTTTTGGCGGTAACTTCTCCGAGACAGAGCGCATCGTTTGATTGACCCACAGCTCCGCGCGAAATGCTTCAATTCAATTCTTCAACCCGCATGCTCGTGGAGATGAGCTGTGCGAGGGAGGGAGGGAAGGAGAGAGGAAGGAAGGAAGGACGACTAGAGAACGAAGAAAAAAGAAAAGAAAGGCAAGGAAAGGCCGGGGAACGCGTTCGGATGATGTCAAAGCGGCTGTAGAAAAGCAACAGCAGCGAGGTGGTGGAGGCCAGAGCGAAGAAGAACGAGAACGACAACACCAGCACCCGCAGAGGAACATGAAACATTGAAGTCGCTCGCGGGTCGTTGGGATTTCTCCGCCACAACGTCATGGGGTGTCGCATTCCTCCCGTTCATGCGGAGGTCGTAGTTGATCACCTACAACTGCTCTACGTACAAGAATCTAGCAACATGTCAGTAGCTCGGTGGTTAGAACATTTGGGTCAAACTCTTCGCACCGAGCTCCATTCCATTCATCACGTCCACGACCCCCACGCTCCCAACCGAAAAGTTGCTGCTCGCTGCTCGCTGCTCGCACTCTCTCCCATCCCCATCCCCATCCACCCCCCTCCCCTTCCTTTCCCCGGCCACAGGCTAGAGTGGTCCAGCCAGCCCACAGCAGCAGCAGCTGCGACGGAAGGAATCAACCTCGGCGATTTGTCAACACCCGATACGCTACGCGACTCGCCCCTCGTCTACGCCCCCAGGACTAGCTCTCACTCGCTCCCTCCGCTGCCTCCAGGCTCCATCCGTCTGGCACCAGCTTTAATTTCGGACTCTCAGCAGTTTGACCGACATTTCAAGAACAGGGTCGGGTCTGCCTGCAGGCTGCAACCATTTCCGCTTTTGCCGAGCGGTCGAGCAACTGATGCTTGCATTGGAAAAGCGAGAGGAATATGTTCCCGAGATCTATCTATCTATCTATCTTTCTTGCTCGCTCTCTTTCTTTCCATGTACAATCTGTGCCGCAAGTGGAACCAGCTATGCTGTGTCTATGGCAGTCTAGGCGCTGCCGTCTGAGGCGGGCTAGAATAGGCAGCGATGCAGCGATAGGCGAGGCCGATGCGAGGCGAGATGGCAATAGCATGCTAGCGGCGTGGCGTGGCGTGGGCTAGAGTGGCTAGAGTGGCCAGGCCAGGCATTCTTGACAAACATCCCAGCCCAGCCGCAAGTTCCCAACAGGCCCCAGCGAAGCTTTCCGAGTCCCGACATACGACTCCATCAATGTGTCACATGGGGCCCGATTGGTCGTAAGTCGTCGTCCATGGCACGACCCGGATTATTCACATGCTGTCTACTCTAGCCTACGACGACCACTGTGACCAGTTGTCAGATTACGAAAGTTCAAAGAGGGCAAGAAAAGCGAGCAGGTGCCGATCAAGCGAACCACTACTCTAGTCTTCGACTTCTGTTGCGCCCATGTGCCTACTTTAAATTATCTTGATCCGGGCGACGCTGTTGGCTCGATCATATGCCACATGATTACCACCGGTAGAAGGGAAGCGTAGGCAGAGAGAGAGAATTAAAGAATGCGAGAGGGAGATTTGCAGAAAAAGAAAGAAAGAAAGAGAAGAGAGGAAGAGGGAGAGGGAGAGGAGGAAAGATGAAGGAAGGAAATAAATGGACATTTGATTTTGATCAGAGATGAGGAAGGCGGTTGCGAGGGGTTGTCGTGTTGGAAACTGCTGCGAAATTCGTTTTCTGGTCTCAATGTTGATCCATCGATGTCCATGTTTCCATTTTCGTGCAGGCTTTCCATGGCTCATCGCCTTCTTCTTCTTGTCCGATTCTCTATCACCACATCCTCCCGCGATATATTAAATTCTGGCGTCCGAGCAAAGCCGGTGCGCTCTGTCTGTTCTGGCCCAACAACCATATCAACTACAACAACAACGAACAAACAACAAACGATAGAAAGTAGGAAACAGACGTAGATACCACCACATCATTTCTGCCATTGGTGGGGGTTCAATCGCAGCAGCGCATTAAGGGAGACCATCTCTTGCTCACTATGCCCTTAGAAGTCTATCTCGAGCCTTCCTTTCTTCAATCTCGAGGCCTCGGCGCTTGACCTCGGCTCGATGATTCGCACAAGTCGAGGACGACGAGAAAAAAAAGTACGACGGCCCGGGAATTATCTTCGGGGAAAATATCCGCTTGCGTCCGCAATTTCAGTCCCTCCCATCCACATAATGTCAACTATCCAATGATTTTTGTATGGCGTGCTAAAGCAAGCGAGGGGGGCTTTCTTATCCCAGGCCTAAGCAAGTCTCCTGGGCCGCAATGTTCGTCCACAATATAGGGTATGGTACGAGTTTTTCGTCCACCCTTTGCTGGAAAGACATCTCCACAGACGCAGGGAACGAATGTTTCTTTTTCGAGATTTTTCCCGTTCCGTTTGAAACCCTCGCGCATATCTTCTGCGCTGAACGCAGTCTAGGGTGATCATCATTCTGCGCTCACCAACGACATTACTGCGCGATGGAACTCGCCCAACAACGACCACTACTTTTAGTAAGTAAAGTACTGCTGCGCTTCTGGTTCTTTTGGAGGTACGACTCTTATTAGTTGAAGCATTTCGGGTGCGAGCGAGTGGAGTGGAGAGAGAGAGAGAGAGAGAGAAAGACAGACAGACGCAGCTTTATAAGATCGGATTTCGAGCGGGCAAAGGGAAAGCGAGGGAATGTTTTGTGGAATCGGGGCAGATTCGTTGAACGCTGTACCGTGGCTCGTGTGCGAAACCAAACCGCATTTGCATTGATTGATGCGGACTATTATCGCATCGGCTCGAGCGCATTCGGTACAATAGCACTCGAGTCCAACCAAATGTCCAGCCAGTTTGTGGCATGATGATGCTATTATGCGCGCTCTGTTGCTATCTCTGAGTGCGACTGGTCGGGCCTGAGTGAGGTCGAAGAGCGTTCCAAGTGGCTTCCCCCGCCGCTTTCTGACACTCGAGAGGCGGAGCGAAGGGTCGAACCCATCGACCTCTCCTCTCCTCTCCTCTCCACTCTCCAATCGACTTCGCTAGGCGATGCGTACATGAATCGTCGATGTCCAGCCCTGAAACCGACCAAGTGCGTGAAATTTCGATGAAATTCGAGTGACCGCAAACTTTGAGTTCGGGATTGTTTTCAAGTTTGGGTGCTGCTTAGACCCGAACCATGAGGAAGACCGAACTTTGCAATGGGTTCAGACTCCGGTGCCTACACATCAATGGAAGGAAAATCGAAAATTCGAGAAGAGGCATTCGCCAAATCAATGAAGACGGAATGAAAGGAGACGAGAAGTAAAAGAAGCGAAAAGAAGAGAGGAGCGCATAAAGGCTCGAGAACGTCTCAAAAGGCTGAATCCATCTCCCACTCACTCTCTCTCTCCCTCTCTCTCTCTCCTCTTTCTTTCGTCGACATGGAGAAGAAAGCGGAAATATTCGAACATGCATGCCGAGGATATTTTTTCTGACATGCATGGCTTGGTTCTTGTTGAGCTAACGAGGCCTGGCCGAATGGGAGCATCGATCTTTTCGGCTTAGACGAGGATGATGCAAGTGCCTTTCGATCTACTTCTGCTGATTACGGCAAACGCTTGGTAGAGATGTGGCAGTGGAGGGGAGGTGAGGTGGGTGGAAGCCATGAGCTAAGCTTGCTCGAAGGAAGAATAAGGAATGTCCATGGCGGTCTTGTTTTGTCGCACGAACCCAACCTAGAGTTTGGCTGGAGATGAGACGCTTCGTCTCCGAGTCACAAAGTGTCTTTGTTTGTTGCAAGCACCCAAATATCAAACTGCTGCATGACACTTTTCAACCGTTTTTGCTGCAATCTTTTGCAGGGCGGAGGGCAAGGAGGAGAACCGGTTAAGAGCACGGTCAAAAAGATGCTCTAGTCCGAAGGAAATAGGCAGACATGTCGATGCAGACTTGAGCCTGCTTTCTGGGCTGGCTGGCTGTCTGCCAGCATTCAATTTTGGAGCCAACATTTGATGCGCGCCATTGGTCAACTGCAGAATCTACGAGTTTTGCACCGTGAAATCGAGCAGCGAGCAAGCATCCTGCGGACGAGGAAAGTCAATCTCCCCTCTCTTCCTCCACCCCTAATGATTGACAGATCGGTGTGCTTGTTGTTTCAGAAAACATCCCCACTTTCTGTTTTGCGAGATAGACATTCCAACCATGTCATTTGCCTCGTTCTGATTTGCTGATGCACTGAACCTTTTCAACGCCGAGGCCTAAGTATCGCATTCACCCACTCCACCACCCATGGAAGCACGATCTCGGAAATCTGGGTACCAAGCAGGTATTTACCACTTTCCTCTAAAACAAGTACTGCTGATGTAATGATACTCCAACTCGTAGATTAAATCTCAAATCAGCAGCAGTGCCTCAGTGAACCGCCAATGAAACTGTCGAATAAGAATCAACGCTTGTTTCAGTGTTCAGCAAAGGGCCCTCTCCTTTCATTCTACACTAGCACAGTAAAAGTACCTTCGTGCTCACGCACATGAGCCAAAAAGCCTATGCCTGAGGAGTTCCGCACATTAAGAAAAGCACCAAAAAGAAAAGGAAAAAAAAACCCATGACGCGACCCAACAGACTTGTGCAAGTTTTCTCGTGGAAACGAGTGCCACTAGCGCAGGAAAATATCCATTTCAGCTCTTCGCCCAATGTGGCATGCATAGAAGAAACCTCCACGCCCTGGTGTATAGTTTCAGAAATATATCCTATTAGTGTGGAGTTTAGATGCGTTCTGATTTTGCTGTGCTCTACGCGAAAAGTGTATGTTGTTTTGGGGAGGGAGTCAAGTTAGCATTTCGTTCGTCCCAGGGCTGAAATGGTAAAAAAAATATAAGTGAGCCCAAATCATAGAAAAGCGGCTGACTTGACCCGCAAGATCCATATCTTACATATGAAGTCTCATACGACACGTTCTTTCAACGGCAAATCGGCCAGTACGAAAGAGATTTCTTTCAGAGTAAGAAAGTAAACTGGTGCAGTGAAGGATGTCGGTAAAGTATACAGGAGAGTACCGCAATCATCTCCTAATGCTACTCCAGGAGTGGAGTTGACATATAGATGGAAAGCACGGAGATGTTTATTCTGGCCGAGCTCGAGTGGTGTTTGCACTTGTTGCTCACGTTCTTTTCCATTGCGAGAGCTATTCCAAAGCATATTCTTGAGAATGGGGGTGGGGTGCTTTTGCTTCCATTTCATCTCAGTGTTTAGTTTTATAAACCTTAAAGTTACATCAGCGCATCAAGAAGAAGACAAGGAGGCATGCAGGTTGCTTTTCCTTCCATGTGTGTCCGCTTCTTGTTCATGCAGAGTAGTGAGATAGATAGAGAGATAGAAAGATAGATATACGGAAGTTTAGGGAGGATGCCGTGTTTGATGAAAGTTTGGAGAAATTTAAGCCTGTGGCGGTGAAGGAAGCATGTTACATGCAGATTAGAAAGAATGTCAATCTATCAGTTCTACAAGTCTAGATAGCCACGTTTTGCTTGCTTCAATGATTATAAACTGGGAAGGAGATGAAGCCCGTTCTGGAGGAGCACTTTGTGGTCCTGGCAACGAGGAGGACACTATGCTGATTTTGTTCCATGCAGATCGTATTCAGCTATCGTTGGATCCAGATATAGACTTGTTCTGTTCTTCCTCTGATACTAAGCTAAAAGCAGAATCTATTTTGTGCGCGTTCTAAACGAGTTTCTACTCCCACTTCCAGCTCATCCTTGATTCCTACATATGAAGTGACTGCCATCCTCCTCCTACACAGGTTTCCAAGTGTCAACTGTACTTGTATAGTCAGCCACATATTCCCCCTCCTCATCATCCCGCAATATTTACCTTCTCCCTCAATAACATGTCATTATGGGTTTGTTTCGTGGGGATCTTGGCTTGTTACCCATGTAATAGTCTCGTTGCGTTGCATCTCGCAGCAGTCGGCTTTCAACTGGGCCGATTGTCAATGAGCCACTAGAGAGCAAGTGAAATGACCTAAAATTCTGAAGTTTGTCTCGCATGGTAATGTCGGTGTACAAACACAGTCGCAAATTGCCAACCTCTTCTTAAAACTGCACAACTGATGTTTTGTCCTACGAACTCGGACGATCGATCATCCGCCGGACACCGCACACTCCTTCGAGTGATGGGGAACGTTGAGATTTGAATCTGGGCAGTAAGTGTCTTTTGTGAGTGAGCGAGGGCATGAGTTCCTGCTGATGACTGTACGAAAGTCGGCTGTTCCTGATTTATGCAATCGGAATACGGAAAGTGGCTTGAATGTCAGGGAGAGATTGGTGGAAATTAGGCAGCTTAAGTTAGGCTATACTGCAGAAAGGGAGGTCATGTACTTGCATCAACTGCCTGTCACCAATCCAATGAAGATATGTCTTCGTTTAAATAAGCAACAGAAAGTTGGATAAAGAAAGACGGCACATCCGCTTTCTCGCTTTGTCGAAAGTATGAGCTTGAATCCGGTCCTTGTAGGCAGGGAGATGGATGATGGGCGTCGTAATAGACTCATGAATTCCGGTGTGGCCTTTTGCAGAAGGTTTACCCCAAATCGTTTGCATAGGGATGCAATTCATGGTACTGGATACATCATGCACTCGAGTACTTGCAAAAAACTTGTGAAAAAGGCGTGTGCTAAGAAATGGAGGATTCCCATTCTCATGATTCAGTCAAAAGAATTCTCGCGGCATTATATATAATATAGGTCGTCTTTTCCCTTTTCTTTTTTCCTTTGAAAATCACGGATACCAAGCCTGCGGCAAGTGCTACATGAGGATGTAGATTCTAGGAACGGTGCTATTGTGGGCTACAAAGCAAAATTTTCAATCAATGGCACGAACGAGGAAAATTGAGGTCTGACGCTGTTTTCTGGGCCAGCGAATTGTGATGTGTTCAAGTACATATATCTCCATGAGAAAAAGCCTACTCTCTGTCTCGGAGCCCCGCCTTCCTTGTCAAACGGTTGCTCAAAGTGACGCCTACCAGGAGGAGCGTAGGCTGTCTTTTTCTTCGCACACAAACACATGCAAAGCTCAAGCTCGAGCTCAACGCATACTTTTGCCTGAAGAGCGTAGCAGATTTAAGTCCCGAGGCAATTGGCTCCGTGATGGTGTAGCAGTGGTCACTTATTGCAGTTACGTGGGCAACACTACTACTACTACTACTACTACTCGTAGTGATGAGAACTAGTTGTATCATGAAGTTGTTCGAATTCATGCATCTTCTGAAGGGGGTTTGCCTTCACACATCCTTGACATGGCAATGTTGTGGGTCACTTTTGTTCTTGAGGTGGAGCCAGTTCTGCTGGTCTTTGAGTGAGCTGTTCCTTTTGACCACTTTGACTGCAAGTGAATGTTTTTTGGGCTTCATTCATTCACATTGATTGTCAGAACACAATATTCTTCTCCCTTTGCATACTTTTCTTTATTGTGCATTTGGATTGAAAAAAATATGCAAAAGCTTGATGAGGTGAGCTATCTCTGGAGACTACCTAGCACTGCCACCGAAGTTATCATAGGACTTCTCGAGTACATACGGCAGTGATGTTCATCACTAAGCCATCATGATGGAATTTTGTGAATTGGAGTGCCACACTCGAGTGCTCAGGTCTAACTGACTCTAACGTATAGGCTGGCCTCTTCACCTTTCTCGACTTTATGGGAGCTAAGAAGCATGCACATTTGCCCCAATCACCGTGGTCAGGAGTAGTCATGTAGCCATATGTGATCAGTAAGAGCGGCTCGAATAGGCGACAAAATCTACCGCATGCCTTGTTTCGTCTCCTTTTCTTCTCCACAAAGTGGCCGACAACAAGACCGAAGGCTACCACATCAATCGTTCGCACCTTCCTTCCTTCTTCCTTCTAGAGCACACGGCCAGATTGTCCCTGCGATTCCCAAAGGATGGATGGAGGGATGGATGGGTGGGTGTTTAAGAGAACAAGAGTATAAAAGAGCCGACGGTGATGGTGGTCTGTCATCCCAGAAGAAGGAGCAGCTTAGCACATATAATATTGCAACCACCACCCAGTTTTCTCCTCTAACGTGTTTCTCTTGAGACAACTATTCCATCACTTGTTGATATCGTCTGGTCTGCTCTGCTCTGCTCGGTCCTCCTGCTGCAGTGACGAGAAAACATTCCGATGAAGACATGCCCATCGTTGTGCTGGTCCGATGGGGAGGGGGGAACGGGGAAGAATGCAAGGAGTGGGGGGAGAGTGGTGACATAGGAAACTCCAAAAGATAGGCCGAACAAGGGTTCGGCAGACGGAAATAATATATTGAACGAGACCAAGAGCCCTGGCAACAGTGCTAGCTTGCATACTACAAGCGTTCTACGACTTCTCTTTCATGGCCTGCCCGGGCATCACAGTAGTGGCGGTGGTAGTAGTTGCTGCTGCTGCCGCTGGTCCAGAAGCAGCGACTACTTCCACAATTGTGTGTTTGTTTGACCTCCATTAGATTGGATAACGCTGTGGTGCGTGCGTGTTCTATCATTCACAGATGTGCCCCAATCATTTCCATCCCTAGTGAGAAAGGACCAGCAACCCTTTCTTCTCTCCCCTCGCAATGCCCTGCACAATCGTAGCTCCCGCTTGGCTGTTCGAAACAATCTAGTCTATTTTATAAATCATTGGCAGGTGCTGTTTGCATCCATCCCGTTTTCCCTCCCTCTTTCTCTCTTGCAGTCTCTCTCTCTCTCTCTCTCTCTCTCTCCTTCCTTTCCTCGCTGTCTCTGTCCCGCTCGCCCTCTGTTCCTGATCCAAAGCTTCTTGTACCGAGGGGTGCGCTTCTCTTTTCGCTGTATGTGTGGATATGTATCTTACAGGGCAAGCAAGTATCTTTTGACAGCATTCGAGGGTCCCCCCCACCACAACACCAACAGCCCAACCGTGTCAGTTAACAGTAGTCGACGGAGGCTACTCGGCTTTGGCTTGGGCTTGGGCTTGCTTGATGTTGTTGCGACGCAGCCTTGTGTGCCAAATCCCATTCCTGGAAAGGGGCCGAGCCCCATGTCCCCCTATCTCTGGGCGTGGGTCCACTGGCAGCAGCAGCAGCAGCAGCATGCCCCCGCATCCATAGATCCAAAATTGGATCCTTGTCCTTCTCCCAAAGGCGATCGATCCATGGATCCACTGATCTGCTCGGATCGTCGCCTCCGTGGACAAGCCCCACGCCCAAGCCCAAGCCCCAAGCCCCAAGCCCAAGGAAGCCCAAGCCCCAAGCCCAAAGCAAGCAAGCCCAAGCCCAAGTCCAAAGCAAGCAAGCCCCAGTCTCCAAGCCCAGCCAAGCTGAGTCCGGCCCCCCGTGGTTGGGGATGCTTGCTTGGCACCGTATGAGTGGATGAATGAGTGACGTATGTACGTATGCGAGCGCAGGCGAGAGCACTGCGGGAGAAAAACCACCATTCTTAGTCAGGCAGAACCCGGGGGCCCGGGGCTAGCGCCGCGCAGCGCGATGCAGTTTTGAGTGAGTGAGTGAGTGAGGCGAGGGGGGAGTGGGGAGGGGGGAGGGGGCGGGCCCTACGGGGGGGGGAGGGGCCCAGCGGAATGGGGGCCCAGGGGGGCCAATGTCACCGCCGGAGCCTGCTGACAGGTACGGGCGTGGGTAGGTTCTATCCAGAACAGGAAGGGAGGAAGAGGAAGGAGGAGGAGGAGGAAGGAGAAGGAAGAAATGGGAGGAGTCGGAGTTCACATGTTCCGTACTACTGTATGCAGGATAATTAATACGAGCTACTGTAGGAGACTCGAGCATCGCATCTAATTCGGTGCGGGAATATGATGGATCGATTTCCAGGACACCAGTGCGCTAGAACTCGATTTGCGCCGATTGCCAAGCCCCAGCCTTGGACTTTCCGCAACGACCTCGCTCCGAGACTGACTGACCGACCGACTGACCGCCCTCTGCGAGCGAAATTCCCCGCAGTCCACAGTCCGCAGAGATTGGGCTCTCAGCGCGTGAATTTCTCGCCGTCGCCTCCCTTTACAGACGGGGCCAGAGCTGCTGAGCCCGAGCGGGCGTCGTCGTCGTCGTCTTCGTCGTCCTAGTAATCTAATACATTCCTCTCCCGAGCCCACAGTGCAGCGGAAAAGGCCCCTCCCTCATGCGCTATAGTGCGAGTCTACGTGCCCCGATCAGTGATCCCGGCAGCGAGGACAAGCGTGAACATCCTCCACATTTTTCATCGCTCACGCAAACTGTCACACTGTCGCTAACTTCCGAATGGTTTGCCTTGCCTTGCCTTGCCTCGCCATGGCTTGAGTTGCATTGGGTGTCACAGCCTTTGGACCAGCCCTGTTCCCGGACGGAGCCATCAGCAAGAGAGTAATCCATGTGAATAGAAAGATGATGCCCAGAAGCCCCATCGTGGAGCACTGTCCACGGCCAGACAAATTCCATTAAAAATATTGAACTGGGCCATACGCCGCTATTGCTCTCTCTCTCTCTCTCTCTCAATCTCTCTGTGCCTATGTCCTTCTACCTCTACCTGCAGCTGAGTTATGAAGAGTGAAGAATAACAAAGAGCCCAAACAGCTGTTGATACTCTGACTAGTCTAGAGACGGAGCTGGGAAGGATGTATCCTCCTACTCCTACCACTCCTCGAGAACATACAGAGTAAGAGATCGATGCGATGTAAGTCCAGATTGTCCATTGCAAGCCATGGCAGCTGTAGTATCATGGGACGGAAGGGAAGGGGATGGGACTCTATAGGATAGGGCAGGACAGGCAGGGCAGTGCAGGGACGGGAAGGGAAGGGAAGGGAAGCGAAGCGAAGCTGAGGGAAAGAGGTGGAGGGGGAGGGGGACGAAGAGGAGTGGGAGGAGGTGGTGTTGGTACAGTTTAATGTTTTGGTAGTAGTGGTTAGAGTTACAATAAAAAAGGTGTTGAGCTTATCATCACCAAGCGTGAGACGGTCTGTAACATTAGCTCGTTGTGCAGATGTTTCCGTGGGTGTTTGTAAAATCATTACACAACGTTAAAGGGTCCGTAGACAAATTTAGCGCACATGTTGACATTTTAAGGCTCTGCTCATTGTTGCAGTTACATTAAAAGTAGTACCTGAATGAAACAAAAACTCTCAACACATGTATAGATCACATCCCTTACATACCCACATATCGAGAAGAACGGACAGACAGGGAGGGACACAGGCAGCACATCTGCCTGCCCTGCCTGCTCTCTCATCCCATTCTGATTCTGGAACTAGAATCTGTACCAATGGCCTCTTTCAATTTGGATGCTGCGCTATGTGTGAATGTATGTACGTCAAAATTTGACTACCGAGGAAGCTTCTTCCGAGTAGGGCTTCTCCCTTCTCCTTAAACATACAGCAGTATAGTGAAACGATTTGTATGGAGCTTCCCTTGAATTTCACGCTATGCTAGTCAACTTGGGCGATCATTAATGAACCTAGCATGTTACAGTACGAAAGGTGACAGGCTTCGGGCAGGCAAGAAATGTGCATTCCCACATTCTTCGACAGCGGTCTTGAAATTTGCTCAGTCTCGCTACGTGAAGTTAAGCGACACTTTTGATACGTTTTTTTTGCTGGGCAGTGGATCTTATGTCTTGTTGCTGATACCCCATCCTCTCCTCTCCTCCTTGGAACTCGAAAGGACAATGGCCAAGTTCCATTCTGTCGTTGCTTCAGAAGCGTACCGATTCGATTAATGAAGATGGAGAGTTTGGTTGTTTTCACAGAACGAAGTGACACTCAAAACTAGACACGAGCTTGGAAGCTCTCAGATGCTCGAAGAATGAACTCATAACGCTGCAAAATACGATGCGAAGCATTTGAGGGATCGACAAGTTGGCCGACCGGAATCATTGGTGTAGCCTAACCCAGGTCCTCTACAGACACACGCGAGAATCTGCCCAGAGGTTCAGAAAGACATAATTCCTCCCTCTCGAGTACCGTATACTACTACGTGTATGGAAATTGAAATAACGGACGGACGCAGAACTGGACGGACCGATCCGAGCCGAGCTGGGATGCTTGCTTGGAAGCACGAGACCTGCAGCTCGATGTCGTGCATTCCAAGCCTGGCTCTGCTAAACATAGTTAGCCATGGAGACAGCGAGCGAGCCGCCCTTTGGCGACAGGCTCGAGTGTCTGCTAAAGCCATCTCGGGAAGCTGTTGGGTCGGTCAAATGGAGCCAAAAGCTGAAAGGTCGACGGCCGACTTTCGATCATAAGTGCGCACCTGACCGGCAAAAGCAGGCCAGCGACGGGATCCGAGGTTTAACTTTCACTGTTGTGCTATTTTAGTTGGGACTAAATTGCTGCTCGAGCCAAGGCCCCGAGATGCAGCGCATTGGATCTTTGTCCTCAAGTGTAACGAACTCGGAATATGGCTGAGCTCCATCCAGTGCCCAGTCGCCAGCCCGCACTCCAGAGCGCGCGATCGGCTGGTCGACCGAACTGAAACTGCTCTGGCCCCTTTTGTATTCTTGCCCAACCGGAAAGGCAGCAGCAGAAGCGGATCAGCAGAACTTCGTGTCCGTGTCCGGAGTCAATGTCAACCGAATAGAATAGCAAATGGCAGCATCCGAGGCTTAAAGCTTCGCCAGTGATCAGGCTTTTGGCTAAATTTCAGCGCCGGGGCTTTGACCTAGCTGCGGAGAGCCACAGGGGCACGTCACACTGTTGACTCGCATCGGACGGGACTCCTCGCCTGCCAGCGGAATCTCGGCGAGCACCTCCTCCGATCGCCGTCGATCCCTCCCCTCCGGGGGGGAATGTATATCGGAAGTGTTGCGTGCAGGTACAAGAAATGGGCGATGGCAAGAATCCAAGGCCACATCGATCCCCCAGATTTGGACGGGGCTACCGTGCCCCGGATGATGTTGCCCCCTCGTCCTCACTGCCCCCGCACGCAGTAGAACTGCGCTCGGGGCTTAGGTCGAACTCGGCTTAGGCGCCCGGGCCACGGATCACGGGCGGCCAGGCGGGTTCGAACCGGGGCCGGGGCTGGGGTTGGGTTACTGCCGCTTCGGAGGACGTCACGGGGCTATCGTCGCGACGGGGAGGACGGGGAAGGACGACGAGGGAGAGGCAAACGGAGATGGCGAGGGACGATCACGACGGGACGTCAGCGACGGGAGTCCGGACTTTATTGGAGGAAAGATGGCGGCCCCGTCACTCACGCAGGGCTAAGGTAACGAGAGCGGAGCCGCGAGTATGAGAGGGGGTTGAGGAAGTCGTCGCGGCGTCATCCATGAGCGGTGACGAGGTCGCGACGTCCGGAGAGAGGCGCTCCGTCGAGGGGGAGGGGAAGGGGAGCGCCGGTGGGGGGAGGGGGGAGGAGGGTGGAAAGGGGAAGAGGAGGAGGGGCATCATGGGAGAGCGGTGGCAGGATCGTGAGAGCGTGGTTGAGAAGTACGGACCCGAACAGAGCGGCGCGCGGCGCGCGTCGTTTGCACCATTGCCCAACAGTCAACGCCATGCGCAATGCCAGTCGTTGTCGGACGCGCAACACGCGCGAAGTGGCCGACAGGGGTATTCATTGCGCGCGCGCTGACGTCACGCCCTGCCTCTCGCGCGGCTCTCCCGCGCGTGTTCCGAATCCCCGCGTACCGTGTGGCGTGGCCCACCGCGGGGGCCCCCGCTCTGGTGGACGGTGGCCGTGCCTCCCGTCCCCCACGCCCGCGCCCCGCTTAACGCTCCGCCAGGCATGCAAGGGACCCATTGGCACACCCCACCGGTGGCAGCCTAGATTCCTGCTCCTGCCCGTGCAGGCCCGCTCCCCCAGGGCTCGCTCCGCGACCTCACCGGCCCTCCCAGTCCCAGTCCCTTGCCCCTCCCCTACCCCCATCCCCTCGCGTCCTAAGGACTCCGGTCGCTCCCGACGCCAGCGTCTCGCGACCCGCCTCCTCTGCCCCCACGACGCCGGGTCGCGGGTGCCACCCTCCACCCTTCGACCCGACCCGGCCGAGCTAACCCTGTCCCCGTCCCCGTCCCCGCCCACCCCACCCCACCCGCGGCTGCGCTTGTCTGCCCTGCCCGCGCTGCCCCCCTGCCCGACCTCGCTGCCCCCACAGTGCGAGATGTGCCAGAGAGACAGGTAAAAGCGGGCCCGCCAGGCGAGTCGAGCCATAGGCGCATCATCCTTCAGGGGGGCATCTGCCTTGCCTTCCTTCTCACTTGACGCTGCCCCCCTCGGCCCACTGACTGCTTCTTGTTCCCCCCTCGGGCCTCGGTTGCCTTGCCTGCGAATGTGCCTGCCTTCCTTCCGTCCGTCCAAAATCCCCCCCCAAGCCCCTTGAGAGAGACTGAGACTCAGACTCTGAGGGAGAGAGAGAGAGAGTGGTGAGAGAGTGAGTGAGAGAAAGAGAAAGAGAAGTGAGAGAGAGAGAGAGAGAGAGAAAGAAGGAAGAGAGGAGAGATGCCTCCCCCGGATCACTCAGGCGCAGCAGGGTCCCGTTCATGGCAGCGCAGCAGGGAGTCGTCGTAGGAGTCTCATCGTCGTTGTCGTCGGCGCATCGCTTGTTGCTCGGAGGAGGCCCAGGAGGCCCATCGTCGCCCGGTCCGACGCAGAGCCCGTCCTCCTCCTGCTGCCCCACCTCGTGCTCGCCCAGCCTCCAGGCGTCGGCCAGGACACTGCTGGGCTGCTCCTTGCCCCCAGCAGCAGCAGCAGCAGCAGCTGCAGCAGCGGGATCAGCAGCCTTGGCCTCCGCGGCTGCGCTGGTGGTATCGACCCAGACTTGCTCTAGTAGCCAGGCCCAGCAGTATCAGTATCAGCAGCGTCGCTGCAATCCTGCGGCTGCGGCCTTCCATCATCATCAGCTGCAGCAGCAGCAGGCCCAGCCCCCATTCTTGAGCCCTCCTGCTCTTCAAGCGTTGCTGCCGAGCGGAGCGCACTCTGAGATGCAACCGGCTTCCATGCTGGGCTCGCGTGGCCCGGTGCCCGGCGTCAGCAGCGCTCGCTCCTCGCTTAGCAATGCGGCGCTCGCCATGCCTTCTCTCCTGAGCCCCCCTCACCAACAGCCCGCGCTGCAATTCGAGCAGGCGGAGCAGACTCCCCCCATGGATGAATTTCTCGAGCAAATGTTCTCGCTCCCGTCCTGGTCCGAAATGGCGGGCGCCGGCCGCGCCCCCTGGGAATTCAATGCTGCGGCCGCCGGCGCTGCCACGCGCCTGGGCGTCGACGCCCAGAAGCTCTTCACCATGTCGTTGCTGCCCCCCGGATTGCTGGGCGGCCCGCACACCTCCACCACCACCACCAACAACAACAACACCAACAACAACAATGCCACCAGCAACAACAACAACAACCACAGCGGCCGCGATTTGCAAGACGGAGCCGATTCCGCCCACGTCGGCGATTCGGTCCTCGGCTATTCCAACGACGATCACCTGCTCGGTGCTCGCCTGCGCGGCCTGCAAGAAACTCCCTCATCCGTTCCAGGTACACGCAATTTCCCTCCCCCGCATTCTGATTCGCCCCGGCGGGCCTCCCATTGGGATTCAATGCCGATCACCGCGCCAGCCATCGGAATCGACGCAATTCCCTCGTGTGTCGTGTGCTTTTGACAATGCCGCAGGTGCTGTGCTGTACTAACCGCTCAATTCGATTCGATCAATTCTCTCCAGGTATCGGAACTCGAGCAGGAGCGACTCTGACCAGGTCCCCGTCCGTAGGAAGCAGCGGAAGCGAAGGATCAGGTGGACCCCAATCGCCTCCTCCCATTGCCCCGACATGGAGGCAGCCATACGTAGGTGGCGTCCCACCTTTGCCATTGGGTTTAGGACAAGCAAAACCAGAAACGCTTCTTCGTGGTGACTCCGGAGAAGCGCATCTTCTTGGGAAAAGGCCTCGTGATGAGGACGAGGTCTCCATGAGAGAGGCTCATACAGGGAACAATGTGAGTCCGTGTTGCAGGCGAATTGCACTTGCTTCCATTGCTTCGAGCTCCGTAGGGCTTGAGAGAGACATAGACATAGACATTGAGAGAGAGCTTCGTATCTAGACGACGAGAGTGGGAGAGAGAGAGAGATTAAAGAGTGACTCTCGTCGTCTCGCAACCCTCTCTCCCTCATCATCATCGTCACCGTCATCATGCTGCTGCTGCTGCTGGCTCTCTAGAGTTTTCAGTGAACGATTTGAGTCTCTTCTCGTCTCGGTGATAGTGAATTTGGTCAAGGTGTTCGTCGCGAATTGGACGAGCGAGCACCGCTTTCTAGTCTCTTAACATTGAGGGCAACCTGTCTGATCGTCGTCGCAGGTTCGCGATGCACCGCAAGGACTTTTCGCCTCCTTCACCGGTGGCCAAGTGACCCAGAACCAAGTGCCTCGCTCAGCTGGGCAACAGTCCCATCAGCAGGTTGGCAAGCTCGACAGCCTCGTGTTGCTTTGAATGGATGATTGAATGAGTTAAAGAGACTGAGCTCCGCCGAGAGCATGATGGTATTGCGGAAGGGTTTGCAGCGAGGCGACACGAAGGGCACGAATCGAATGTGAGCTGAAATTGTGTTGTGCTGTGGCTCGCTACCTCGCAGGGAAATGGTGCCTCGTCTCAAGGGGTGCAAGGACAAGGACAAGCGCTGCCCACGTACGGGAGCCCCTCGATAACGGCGACGACGCAACCCCATTCGAATTCGGGTGTGGCCGTGGCAGCTCGACCTCGAGTCCGAGCGCGACGTGGCCAAGCCACCGATCCGCACAGCATTGCCGAGAGGGTGAGCTTTCCCGCGCTCTTCGCAATGTGACCAACCAATCAATCGTCCATCGCAGTCTAAACTTGGGCTCTCGCTCGCAAGTCCCGGCTGGATTTTCGAGGGCTCTCGAGATTGTTGCGCCCACAATGTGCCTGCCTGCCTGCCTGCGTCTCACGTGCGTGGCTCGTTTTGCTCTTGTGTGCCCTCCAGCTCCGAAGAGAAAGGATAGCGGAGAGAATGAAGGCATTGCAGGAGCTCGTGCCCAATTCAAACAAGGTGAGATTCTCCCTTTCCCTCTCTTTTCTTTCTCGTCCGCGTGCCGTGGCGCGACCTGACCCTCCTCGACCTCGTCCTCGTCCTCTTCTTCTTGAACCCCCATGATCAGATCAGCGTCCGTTGCTCTAGGGCCGTGTGATGATAGCTCGTAGAACTGGCGGACGTCATCATCATTCATGCCACTAATGCGCAAGTCCCCTCACAGAACCAAGATCGCTCGGACTCGATTCGGACTCGGAACTCGGAACATTGGAACTAAGCTCCAGACGACCGAATTTCTCTGACGGGATTGATCAGTCGCTCTCTCGTGAGGCTCGAGCCATGAGAGAAACAATTGGCGAGATTTGCGCAATTGATTGCCAGCAGCGAAAGATTGAGCCGAGCAGCAGGCGGGGGAAGAATGCAGTAGACTAGATGCGGTATCATTCGGTTGGACTGTCACAGGGATGTTCGCCCCCACCGACCCGACCGAGCGACCGAGGCAGCGAGACGAGCATAGGTCCAATATCTTTCACGATGTCTCGTGGCTCGTGGACTTGTGCCCATCGTTCTTTACAGTTGTCAGCCTACTGCTACTGCGCTTTGAGACCGAACGGTGGGTCGGGGGGCTGGGGCTGGGGCTGGGGTTAGGAAGAAGGCAGCGGGGCTTCGGTACGGCAGGTAAGCCCCGAGGCGGAGAATCTTCGACATACATTGAAGCGGGGCAGTATTCACGCAGGAAGCAGCGGCGGTCGCCTCATTGCTCGAGGCCATATCATTCTCGTAGCTCGCTTTCGGCGCAGCTGTGCGTGAGCCCAATCCGCTCGACCGGCCAATGGCTCACGTCCCGAGCTGCCTACTCTCCTCGACCTGGCCTGTCGATAGACGGATCCAATGCGGCTACGACTCGTAGCCCAGCCACCCCCTTCCCTTGCCGGGGGTGGGGAATGCGCTGCAGGGGGCTTGAGAAGCTTGCCGGCTGCGGAGTCGGACGGATCTCTCGCTTCCCTCCGAGGGAGAGAGGCGAAGGCGAGCCTCTTTTCCCCGTCGCTGAGCTTCCATAATTGGTCCCCAAGTCGGAGATGACACTCGCTCAGCGAGCACGATTTCTGCACTGCGGGACGTGCTCTGAGTCGATGATCAGATTCGGTTTCGTGAGAACGCTCAGATCAGCTCCGAGCGTGTAATCACTTCGAGCCCGTGATCGCAGATCCGGTGCTCCGGATGTGTGCATGTGCAGATCAATGTGCCTCTTTGGCCTGCTGCCGAATCGTGGACCTCGCTCGTTCTCATTCGATCCGCCCGCGAAGATAGATGAGTGATGAGTGGAGTTTCCTGCTGGCCCCGAAATCTTCCACCGCGCGAGGAGACGTGCAACAATTCTCGCACTGGTGAGTACGGCGCTTCGGCCGCGTACTTGCTCGTGCTCGCATCGTACCACATTTACGTTATGGACCTGTGGGATTCACCTGAGATCATCGAGCGCTTAATTGCCGCTCAGTACAGCGTCGAATAGCACTGGCACCGCGAGGAGTAAATTCCCGTTCGTCGTCACGTGAGCTGCTTTGCTGAAGCATCGGCTCTTATGAGCCCATGGCAATCTGATAGGACGCAGAAAGCCGTGAGCTGCATCTGAAATCATGCTCATCCGGAGCCGTCTGTGTGTCTGGTGCTCGACGGTACATTTTGGTCGAGGCTGGCAGTGGGGTGAAGGAACGGGACACTGACATGACATGACTTGACTGCCTGTTTGTACGAGATGGTGTGCGTGTGGATTGACGTCTGATCATGGTCGGTTGGTGATGGCTTGTGCAGACCGACAAAGCCTCTATGCTGGATGAAATTATCGAGTATGTGAAATTTCTGCAACTGCAAGTTAAGGTGAGTTGCACGGGATCTCTCTCTCTCTCTCTCTCTCTCTCTCTCTCTCTCTCTCTCTCTCTCTCTCTCTCTCTCTCTCTCTCTCTCTCTCTCTCTCTCGTGTTTGTTCGTTTGTTGCATAGCGATTGTACGAAAGCCATGAATCCGGCATTTGCTAGAAACGCGACCCGGAGTCTCATGAGATTTGGCCCCGTGCCGTCTGAGTGTGCAGGTGTTGAGCATGAGCAGACTAGGAGGAGCCGGAGCTGTGGCGCCCCTCGTCGCCGACTTGCCCTCCGAGGTAGTGGTATACTGACTGACATGATTGGTGCATTGTCGTGCAATTGGCGTCGAGGGTCGAGGAATTGGAGGGGGAGGTTGTGGAACTGACCGGGAGAGGGGGAATGGGGGCTCGATGGATGTGGCAGGGACCGAGCAGCTATGTGAGCGCGACGATCGGGCGCAGCAACGGAGCGCCGGGGCCATCGCAGGACGGGCTGGCGCTGACGGAGAGGCAGGTGGCGCGGCTCATGGAAGAGGACATGGGCTCGGCCATGCAGTACCTGCAGAGCAAGGGGCTGTGCCTGATGCCCATAAGCCTGGCGACGGCCATCTCGAGCACGAACTCGAGGTCGCAAGGGGGAGGGGCTGGGGCTGGTGCAGGGGCAGCAGGCACCCAGCAGCAGCAGCAAGGGTCCGGCGACCGCCACCGGTCGGAATCGGGCGCGGCGGGCCAGGCGGCCAGCCAAGCGCCGATGAGCTCGAGCGCGGCCGCGTCGGTCAGCGCGGCCATGGACGTGGACGGCGCCAGCCAGATGGGCAACGGCGCGGCCAAGAGCAACGCCGGCAGCAGCGCCGGCAACCACAGCGCCAGCGCCGGCAGCAAGGACGGGCGCGACGCCGGCGACAGCAAGAGCGCCGGCGCCGGCGGGGCCCCGGCCTCCAAGCAGTCCCCGAAGGCCTCGAAATTCAAGGGCAAGGACGAGTCCCAACGACGAAGCCAATAGCTCGCGCTCGCGCTCGCGGTCGAGAAGCAGGTACTCAGTTCCCGGTGAAGTCAGCAACCCAAAGCAATTTTGCTAGCGTCCAGGTATTCTGTGCTGGGAGATGTGGGTGCCGTGCCACAGGTCTGGCCTAAGCTTTTCATCGACGGATTCCACTCTCCACACTCCCTCCCCCCATCCCCTCTCCACACTCTCCACCACCCTCTCCCCCTCGCTCGCTCGCTCGCTCGTCTGCTCGAGGTATTATCAATCACGCACAACCCGGTCCGATGGTTGGTGCCCGTGCCGAGCGGCAGCAGGCTCTTGGCGGCTGCTCTTGGCACCTTTTTAAGTCATGCGGTTGAAGCAACCATGTTGGGATCGTGCAGAGCAACGCATCAGAACACCTCGAATCTGAATCCTCGCTTCATGGTAACCGATTCCGAGTGTCACCACCTTTGTTTCGGCGGACAGCCACCTCCTCCCGTGCAAGCAGCAGCAGCGAGGCGCAGCGATGCAGGAGGGCCCGTTGTTCTTCACTCGGTCTCCGATCACAGAAAGAAAGAAAGTCATACGGGAAAATTATATGATCCCTGAAAGTTTCCTCAGTCTGACACCAACCGTGTTCGTGTGCAGGGTTTGGAAGGACTACAAATCAGGGTGCTATCTAGTTTCAACTTACTCTGTATTTCTTCCATTGCTTACAAACTTCATAAACTTAAACGTGCCAGGTTACTGTTTTCGGTAGCTTCGCCATGTACCAAATTCAAGGACACTTCTTGTTGTGCTCTGCTCAAATTCATGCAAGGCCACCTGAGCAGAAAAGTCTCAGGCAAGAGGCTTGCGCCCTTTACAATGAAGTGAAAGTTTCTTCTTCAAATCATGAATTTCTGGCTCTCGGGCTTTCACTCACTCTCCCTCTCTCACTTGCATGATTCATTCGTTAATGCTTGCGCCTCATCTCATCGAGGTCAATCTCGACCTCGTCTCGTGTTTGCCATGTTCTGGATGGTTATTTTCTAGTCCCATTACTCGTGTACGCTGAATGCCATTGATTGTCCGCCCATCGTTCCCTCCGAATGAGAGGTTCGATCAGTTCGTTCCGACTCCGATTTTGTGGCAGTCTTTGAGAGAGATGTATCATGGATGCAGTCTTTGGAATTCGAACCTCGGTGTACCTCGGCTGACAGTTTCAAGCTTATGGTATGGATGTGAAATGGATAAATGCCAGCTCCAACATTGGTTTCGGGGCTGGCTGGTTGGCTGGCTGGATGGATGGATGAATGAATGAATGGTGGAATGGTTTCGGAGAGTCGGAGGGTTGTTCTTGTGTATGGCGTGCAATCCATGGTTCAAATTTCGAGAATCAGCTCACAGTACAGCGGTAGCCTTTCTGGGACCCAGTCGAGATTTTTGTCCTCGGCCGAGCAAGCCGATCACTGCAATTTCTGTGAGCTCTGAGTGGATCTGTCCCGAGTGAATAAGGATTCTAGCGTCATGACCAGTTGGACTCCTCGGGCTCGAATGGCTTCGCTCCGCTGTGCCATGCTTGTGTGCCCTACCGCGGCAACGAAGAGGACTGAAGAGGACCCGACCTCCTCAGTTTATGGTGGAATTTCTGCAGTACACACCTTTTCGGGCGAACTGGGAAAAGCTTGGGCGATGGGGAAGGGATGGCACGAGGGGAGGGGTGCAGTGCAGTGCTATGCTGTGCTAGAAGATACGGAGAGGAAATGTCTGGTTCATGGGATCGAGCTCCGTTCGTTCTGTTCCATTCGGGTGCGCTCCATTGAGCGGAATGCGCGTGAGAGCACAGGAGGAGAGAGGTGGCAGATTTCTCGACCCCCCAGAACGATCTCGTGCCCGTCGCGGGCATTAAATGGATCGGTGAGCTGCTCGCCCGCCCACCGGAACTCAGCATGCACCACCTGATTCCTCGGTGATTTTGCGGTGCTTTTCATGGGCCCGTGAGGGCATGGCGTCTCGTCGTGTTGACCTTCCGAGAGGTCGACGCCCATGCGTGCCTCGAAAATCCAAGCTGCTCGAGGCCTGGGTCCCCGGCCACCCTTTTGTCCGATGCCTCATCTCGTCGTCGTCCTCGACCCTCGTAACCAATGCTTCTACTTTCTGCCGCTCGCTCTGCTGCATGACCATGCAGCGAGCGAGCGAGCCAGCGGTCGATGCGGCTGGAGCATGTTTGTCTTGAGCTGATGAACGCAGTTCGTTACCCAGCGGCCGCCTCACAGAGCGAGCTCGAGAGTGAGTGAAATGATTCGAATGGCAATTTGGCCAGGTTTTGAATTTTGCAGGTTGGCTTGCTGGATCTGGGCAGACACGGAGGTCTGAGGCGAGTGAATTAAGGCAGACAGGCGACAGCTTTCGATGGGGCACGAGCACGAGTCGCCAAGTGGTAAGAATCGGGCGGTGTCGCATGTGGGGAATTAGCCGGGGCTCCGGAGGCGAGACAAGGGGGCGGAAAAGAAGCGGGGGCTTTAATTAGAAATCAGTTGGGCCGATCGAGTCGAGCTGAATCAGCAATTGCGATTCCACAAGCTACCGCATACAAAACAGATTTGCGCTAGTTGTCGTCGACGGCACCGAATCATCATCTGATTCAGCCAAAAGCTGAGCAACTTGGAATCCTCTCAGTCGACAGCAGTGATCCTCACCCGCAAAGTTGACCGAACCCGCGAAGCTCCATGTGGCTGATGAGATGCTGATGCGCGGTCTCAGACTCCCGCCCCCCGCCCCCCGCCCCATGTTTGCTTTTCACCTCGTCTTTCCTGCTTCCTCCCTCCCTCCCTCCCTCCCTCCCTCCATGTCCAGCCGAGCTCGTGTTGACCGTGGCTTGGCGTTCACACCAAGAACCACGGCCGAGACTTTCGAATTCTCCGATTTCTTTCTCCTTCGCTCACTCTCTCTATCTCCCTCTCTGCTCATGTCTTTTCTCGCTCGCTTCCCGCTGCGAGATGATTGAAATGGATGAGACCCAGTCTCCAAGGTCGGTGACTCATCATGAACCCGAGCCACAGTAGGTGACTTTGACAAACCGTAAAGTGGCCCCTCTTTTTCCCGGAGAGCGCACCGATCTGCTGTTTGTTAGTCGAGAGAACTGGAAAATCTCACCGGACCGATCATGGATGCGTGCTTTTGGTGGACCACTGTCTTCCAAACTGATCCAACGGGAAGTGGACATAGATCTGGTGCTGCTTTATAGCGCTCGCTCGGTGACACGCTCCCTCGTCATCAGCTCAAAGTCAAGCAGCTGCCCTCACTCCGTTTACTTCTCGCAGCTCCAGCAGCAGCACCAGCAGGAAGGCAGCCAGCAGGAAGCAGCAGCAGCAGCCTTTGCCTTTGCCTTTGCCTCTGCCTGCTCTGCTCTCGTCTCATCTCGGGCTCCTCTGCTTTCTCGACCATACGGTCGTTGGCGATATTTCGCTGCGTGCGTGCTCTACATTATAATACCATACGGATGCGCGTCTCGTCTGACTCACTAACTGCGATTATGCGACTGTGCAACTTTGTTGTTCCCGACAGAAAGACTACAAATCGGCACGTAAAGGTCTCGAGTCTCGACTCCATCAACCTTGCCCTCCCCTCCCCTCCCTTCCCTCTTGCGTCGCTTCTTTCTTGCTTTCTGAATCCCAGCGGCCAAAAGCTGAGTGCTCCGTATGGGGCGAAATATATTACTGTTACCATGGCAGTACAGGACAGGACAGGCCCGGGCTGGGCCGGACTGGCCTGATCTGCACTGCTCTGCTCTGCTCTGCTCTGGACTGGACTGGACTGTCGACGCTGGCTGCTTTTGAAAAGCAAGGGCTGCTTTTCATGAGTATCCTTCGAGGTCGAATTGGACTTTTGCAAGGGCGTCGGTTTCGTCTTGAGGTAGAGTGCGAGATCGAACGACTACAATTATGAGCAGTCGATCGAGCGACGTCGTCGTTCTTTGCAACGCCTCTCTCTCTCTCTCTCTCTCTCTCTCTCTCTCTCTCTCATCGTCCTTTCTGTCTAGAAAGCTCGAAGCTCCGGAACGTATTGAATTGACCGGATTCGCTTCTGTCGTTCTTTGGTTCTTTGCGCCGTGTCTTCGTTAATTCGGTGGGCTCTTGACAATGGCAAGGGTTTTCTACGCTGAATGAATGAACGAAAGGAAGGAAAACTGAAAGAATGAAATCAGTCGCACCGCCGTATACTAGCTTGCTCATTATGGCTCGCCGGGTGGTTGAGGAAAGGATCCAGCCTCTTTTCTGCCATTCCGGCATACGCTGCTCTCAATAATCTTTTCGTCCACCAGAGCTCCAGCCGAATAAAGCCGGACATGCTCATCCCTGACCTTTAAGGCCCGTGTCTTGTCCAAATGTGTGATGACGATGGACCCTTCTCTCTCTCTCTCTCTTTCTTCCAACGAAGGTACTGTACGATGTCCATGGCCAGCTCGCCTTCTGGATTTCATATATACGTCTATACATACGGAGATACGGAGAGAGCGAGCGAGAGAGAGAGGAATAGGAATGAATGTAACTCTTCGTGGGACTGGTGGCTAAAGATAGGCCAGATACGACCTCCCGTCCTGGAGCGTAGCACGAGGATAGAGAGAGACTGAGGATTCTGACTTTATTTGTAAGAGTATCTACTGCTCCCATGTGGTCCCATGTCTGAAGATGAAGCTCCGAGGCAAGCGACAAATACATCAATACCCAGACGAGACGGTAACATACGCAGTACTTGCAGCAGCAGCAGCAGCGATGTAGTTACTCGTCAGTCCTTGCACTGCTCTGCTTTCCAGGACTGTAGGACTGGTACTATTGTGAAACAAGAGTCGACGTACCCGACCCGACCCAGCTCAGCTCAGCTCAGCCCAGCCCAGCCCAGTCCAACGAACTTCAGTACCGTGGCTCATGGCACGCCAGGCCAAGCCAGGCCAGGCATGGCAGGGTAGGCCAAAGGCTAGCCCAAGCTGCAGCACTCCAGTAGTACTGGAGAGCAGCGGCAGCGGCACCGTAGGCCGATCAGAGTTAGCTGCAGCGCATTGCACTTCACTGCTGATTCGGGTCTACTCCGATTCCTCGAGCTTCTTTCCTCTCGAGCATGATGGCAATGCTCGGACTTTGATTGAGTGAATGGGTGAGGGAGGGAGGGAGGGAGTTTATTTTGACCGACATGCCGAGGTGCGGTTCTTTCCGGGCTGTTCTGTTCTTTTCCTTGTCATGACTAAACGGAACATAACTGAGCTGGAGGACATTCAATCAAATTCGCTTCCCTGCTGCTGCTGCTGCACTTAACCTACGCGTACCGTACTGGTGGATCAGGAAAGAACGATTCGATTGGGTTGAGCTGAGCTCTGGTCGACGCATCTATTTACAGTAGTGATATGGGTCTATGGCTCTACGTGCGTTGTAGTGGGAGTAGAAGCAGTACAGTACATGCAGGTACTCCCGAATGCTGGTGCGGCGTAGTCTATTAGAGGAGGAATGAGTGCAGAGACGAGAAGGAAGCTTCAAGGCTTCAGAGCCTGAGGAGCAGCAGCAGCAACCGCACTGCAGTGCAGTGCAGCAGGAGGGCAGGGGTATCGAATCGAAAGTGTGGAGTCTGTGGACGCCTGCTCAAAGAAGCAAGGATGGAAGAATCGAACTGAAGGAACTTCACGGAAGGGTCCAAGAGATCTATGGAGGAAATGCAAGGAAGCAAGGCAGGAAGAGAAGTCCAAGCATCAAATCACTGTGGCGAGTCTGGCGACGCCTAACGACTTGACTTCTATTCCTCTGCGACATAGCACGCGGTTCTGTCCCGAGAATCATCTCACTCATCTCACTAAACTCATCGGATCGAATCGAGGGGGCTCCAAACCTCTCAGATGATTCT